CATCTATTGCTGGACATTGTACCATTCATCTTTATATGCCCTGTGCCTAAGGCTGGGGCCCAAAATGTTGGCTGAAACAAACGCTTACAAATCAGGCAAGACAGAGAATGTGGTCTTAAGATGACTGCTCCCATAACATCAGTCAAGGGGAGTAGCATTTGATGCTGGCAAATCATTTCACTTCGTCTCATTTGAAAGGAAATGGCACCCCACTCCAGTGTTCTTGCCTGGAGAATCCCATGGACAGAGGAGCCTGGCTGCTACAGTGCATGGGGTTGCAAAGAGTTAGACACAACTGAAGTGACTTAGCACAGGACATGTGAAAAGAGAGGAAGTGAAGTGACAGGAGGTTAGACCAAATGATTCCAGGTTATTAATAAAGGTGTTTGCTCCTATGACTTATTTCTCACGTGACTGCAAGGGATTGGTTGTGTAACTGTGATGTGATAGTTAACTGTTTATATTCATGGTTCTTAGAATATTGTAGGTATTTTCTGGTTGTAAACAGGGGCCTGGGGGCCAAAGGATCTCCCATGCCCAGGACTGCTGTCAACAAATATTCACAACTCACAATGCTTCCAAAAAGTCATGAATGCCTTCTTCCTTCTTACGACAAACTGTGATGACTCTGAATGATGATACGAAAACAGACTTTCTTCTGCCTGTTTTTCCTACTCTGGTTCGGCAAGATGGAATGATTTTATTTTAAGGACAAAGTTCTGGACATTAGCACCACTGTTCTTAAAGTTGAGACCAAATCTGTTCTTTCTGCCACTTTTAATGACTGGTGAACACTAAAGAAAAAGAAATTTCTACACTTATAAAATGTTTATGCTCTTATTACATTTGCAGTATATACACACCGAGAGACTAATCATAACCACCCGGACCCTGCAGAGCTTCACCCGGGCCGGTACGTGTCTACTAGACCAGCGTGACAGGGGGATGAATAACATTCCCAGGTCCCCTGCAGCCTGCTAAATGTTTACATTTGCTTAAGTGCTTACTGGTAAAACCTTCAGTAAATGTGAAAAATGTCTCCTGTAAATCCCTATAATACTTTGGCTAAACCTCGTTCTTTAAGTTAATAATGCCAACTAAACAATCCATTCATTTCACTTCGAAAACTCAATCTTCATCACTCATTTCACAACCAGGTATGGGCTGCCCCCAATTCCGAGTGTTTTAATTTATCCCCTCGAAGAATAACCTTCCTCTCTGCTCTTATCACTCCATCTCTCTGCTCACAGCCCACACCTAAAGCTTACAAGTTCTGGATCACTCTCATTGGATCCATTAAGTTGGGAAAAGTAACTCTGACATGTATTCTTTCCCTGTCAACATGAGGGAGCTGGAAAATGGATAACTCAAAGGAGACGGAATGAAAATAACCGAGAAGGCCCAGCCCATGTCTGATTTCTTCAGGGAGCTTTCACTGCCCAGCTGGTCTTTATCTGAGTCTTCCCTTTCTGACCTCCCAGAGAACTTCTCGTTTGTACCTCATTCCATTTCCCTAGATCCATGTTTATGGGCTGCCCCATCTCATCTGCTAAGCATTTTATGCATTTGGCATAATTTTTCCACCCAGATTCGATGCCTTTTGAGCATGATTTAACAATAAAACTGACTGTGCCGGTTCCACTCTAGGTAATCAATACATTCTTAATTAATTGAATTAAACAAGGGAATTATTTAATTCTAAAATATAGAGAAACATTTGGTCTTGACATCCTTAAGATTAATTTTAGTTAGGAGAGACCAGGAAGAAAAGGTTATTACTTAGAAAAAAAATACACAAGCTATATATATATCTTAGAAATATGAGTCTGCAGGACTTCAAGTTAGAGAAAGATGTATATCTCTGTTCTGTCTGAAAACTACAGGAGAGTGAAGAGAAGACAGAAAACCCCAACTAGAACCAGGAGACACACCTACAGAAGAGCGGCCAGGCCCAGGAGGCGTGCACCTAACATCAGCCCTCAGAACGTCTCCCCGAGGCCCTGACTACGAATCAGAGAAGGACTGGGACGTGCAGAGCATTTTCTGGGTTGGGGAGTGGACCCCAGTTAGAAGGCAATCAAGCAGAATCAGGGCCAAGGGCCCTGCTGGAAAAAGCAGCCATGTAGGAGTGGCCTGGGTGCTATCCCCCCATGACCCCCCACCCATGCTTAACTGTCCCCCACACCTTGCCCTCAGCCCTGGGCACTGGACCAGGGCTTGGCCAGCAAACCTTCTCTCACCAGGCCTTGGACCTGACACAGAGGACTTGGCCGGCAGGCCTGGGGGTCAAGGCCAAGGTTCCCAGTTTGATGATGAGTCAATTTAAGTGGAAACAGGGTTTGAAGGGGCTTCTCAGGTGGCACTAGTGGTAAGGAACCTGCCTGCCAATGCTGGAGACATAGAAGACAAGGGTTTGACCTCTGGGTCAGGAAGATCCTCTGGAGGAGGGCATGGCAACCCACTCCAGTATTCCTGCCAGGAGAATCCCATGGACAGAGGAGCCTGGTGGGCTCCAGTCTATAGGGTCGCACAGAGTCGGACACAACTAAAGAGACTTAGCACGCACGGTTGAGGTTTGAAGACCCAACACGCAGAGAGGAACGAGGTGGAAGTAAACAGTAGCCTGGACACGGGGGTGGAAGCGATGAGGGGACCACGCCTTCTAGAAGACCAGCAGTAAAAAGAGGAGAAGAGAAGAAAAACCAGATGGAGCAGCTGTCTGAACAGGCTCTTCTCTGTGACCGGACTGCTCATCCAGATATGAAGTCAGAGGGGAAGGACCCAGTGGGGCAGTGGGGCTGGCAGAGGTGCTTGGAGGCCCAGGGAGGCTGAGCCGAGGACCCTCACTCTGCAAGCTGCTCTCCAGGCCCTGAGCTTGGAGATCAGAAGGCAGAAACGGGGTCACCAGCTGCCAAAAACAGGTGTCAGATTCTGGCAGCGATAACCTGCGGTGGACAACACCTGGTCCCATCCTCCCGGAAGAAACAAGGGCTGTCTGAGGAGGAGCTTCTGAGGACATTTACTCTGGACCACTCCTCATCTTCCGACCCCTCCCCTCTGCCACTCAAAAACCACGGAGTCCACTTTATCCGGTTAGGACTAGCGCTGCAAGCAAAACACAGAGCTTCATCACACGGAAGGCATTCAGGGACACTGGACACGTGTGTGACAGGTAAGCAGCAGGAAGGAAGGATGATACTCGTGAGGATGTAAAACAACAGAAGGACAGGCGGCTCGGAGCATCAAACTCCATCTTGATTTTGCCCTGGACAAGTTCCGCTTCCCCCACATTACCCCCCTTCCCCCGGCGTCATCCAGGCTCCAGAGCCCTGGTCCCCTGGGCACAGCCTTGGCCATGCTGACGCTCAGCCTCAGGGGCACAGATGCGGGGGTGTGGGCCCCAGTTAACAGAGGTCAGGTCTGCGGGGAGGAGCTGATCCTGGGGGGATGAGCGCCATCCTGACCCTGGAGCTCCTCTCTCCAGATGTCCTCAGATGCAGACGCCAAGCTCTCTACCAAATGCACCGAGACTCCAGTCTAGCCTTGGGCCTCAGGAATGCTTCCTCAGTGATGTGGAGGACACTGTACTCAAGTTCACCAGGTGGCCCCCGAGCCATTAAAGACTCTGATAGATAATTCTGCCACAGAGACCTGGAGCCAGAGTAAAAAGCAGAGGGCCTCGGGGTCAAGTGTTTCCACAGGAAACTGAACCAGTCACCTGCAATTACTGCTTTCCAGACGAGACCACCAGAGGAACTCACAACCGGCCCTGCGAGAGTGAGGAGGGATTCGCACATGTCATCTTAATATAAAAATGCCTCTTCCCTCCGCTAAAGACAGAAGAAGCAGTCTTTTCCCAAATAGTTAATGCTTTTTTTTTAACCTTAAAAATTTTAGACATGCAGAATTGGCATTTTATGTAGGTAACCGACAGATAGTTAAAAGAGCTGTCCTCTGTATTCTCCTTGGGAAAACGAAGCAAAGAATAATGCAATGTCATGGATGTTTATGGCCATGAAATGGCATTTTAGCTGTAAAGATTTTTTTTCCCTTTGATTCTCAAAACTGTTAGAGAAATTTTTGTGGCCTAAGATGTAAAGGGTGTGCTTTTACTGTAACTACTTCAAAACTAGCCAGTTATTTCAATATGCCTTGTTTATCAAGTATGTATTCAGTGTCAGCTTTTCCAATATCTGAAGTGTCAGAGACAAACAGTAGCTCAGTAAAAAGCAAGGCGTGCGCACGAAGTCTGGTGAACAAAGCCCCAGGATGACTTTCTCAAGACGCTGCGAGCTGCAGAACACTCAGCCCATGCAGGTCAGCCCTAACGTGGAAGTGGATTCAGCTCAGAGTCATCCTCCATGATCCCCTGAAGTCACCATACAGGACACACAGGCTTATGCATGTACAGTTCTGGGAAACGATGACTAGGTCCACTGAAGTTTGAGGATGGCTGAGTTAAATTAAGAGGGAACAAAAGAAAAGTCTGTATTTACAGGGCTGGGCCCTCAGAGTATCTGCCTCCAAGACAATTCTGCAGAGGCAACAGGTGGAGAACTGAGAGGGTTCTGTGTTGGGGGGGCGGGGGGTGGACGCCCTTCAGTCTTCACGCTGATGACACAGGCATGGACTCTGGCTGTGCTCATGAGGCCAGGGGCGGGGGTGGGGCGCGGCAGTGTTCTTCTCTTTATTACTCAAGGCAAAATACAGCGAAAAGGGGACTTCCCTGGTGGTCCAGTGGTGAAGAATCTGCCTTGCAATGCAGGGGACTGGGGTTCCATTCCCGGTTGGGGACCTAAGGTCCCACATGCTGTGCGCTCACTAAGCCCACATGCCACTGTGAGAGTCAGACCACTGCAACAAAAGATCCCACAGGATACAACCAAGACCTGATGCAGCCACATAAATACATACTTTTAAAAAATACAGGGAAATGATCTGGGACGGACACGCAATGGAACGATTTGTAACATGGAAGAGACACACATTCAAGATTTTACCTGATCTGTCCACGAACCAGAGGTCTGTTCTTTGTCCTGTTCATGTTTGAATCAAACGGAACCTCAAAAAACTGCAAAAAGATTGAAAAAAAAATTAAATACAGCATGAAATAGTTATTTTCTTTCTGCTTTAGTTCTACAGTTTTTTTTCCAAATTTTGTTTTAATTTTGATACTGCGAATACTCTTGGTACTCTTGAGAGAAAAATTCTCAGTCGGGAACATGTAATACTTTGAAAACCACAGGTTAAGTACATGGTTGCGTTCTTCAAAGCCACTGTTTCAGGTTTAGAGCATTAGTGCCATATACGATTTCAGAATCTTTCAGGCATCCTGAAGACTGAATCAACCAAGAATCAGCTGACCTCGGAAAACAGGCTTCTGGAGTCAAAGGCCAGGAAATATTAATAAGAAGTCAGATGGGGCTGTATACAAGCATTTAATCATCTCCCATTCTCCTACCACTGAATAAATGTCAATAGCATTTACTCTCACATTTCAGTATTGAAGTTACAAAGGATAGAGGGAGACCATGACTCGGCTGTACATCCATTCATGTGCTGAATACTAGGGTTGTTTCCAGGTTTTGCCTATTAATACTAGAGTCAGTTGCCACTCCCTTCTCCAAGGGATCTTCCCGATCCAGGGGTCGAACCTGTGTCTCCTGCTTGGCAGGCGGATTCTTTACCACTGGGCCACCAGGGAAGCCCCCCATTTCCTACCACTGAATATATGTTAGTAGTATTTACTCTTGTGCTATAGGATGACAGTGACAGAGAACCAAGGGATGCTGTGACTCAGCTGGAAGAGAAATGAACATGCCCTAGAGATGAATAAAGGGGCTTTGCCTCCTCTTTCAAGGAGTCCGTCAGTGACTTGTTGGTTGTAAGGGGGAGAATTTCATCCTGTTCACTAACGTAATTTTTGGCCACCACCTTATCTGGAAACACGACTGAAGGGCGTGCCAAGCGCCAGGCCGACCAGCGCGAGCCCTGAGGGGTCACTGCCGTGTCTGTTCAGCTCCCCGGGAGCGAGGCCGCCCAGACGCCCCCTCCTCCCAGCTCTGGCTCTGGGGCACCCGCAGAATCACCTGGAAGCTGGGGGTGCAGAAGTGGCCATGTTTACACCTGCAAAATTGGCATGAGGTCAGCCATGACTGTGGCTACACACAGTGGCTGGGACCTGTCGGCTCGCACTGCTGGCCCTGAGGCACACTGGGCCCGCAGCTGCCCCGGCTCCTGCTGCACCTCCCGGGCTGCAGCCCACGCCCCAGCTCGTCCACGTCTCGTGACCTCGGGCCACGTCTGTGTGCTGCTCCATGGCCAAGCGCGCCGCTCTCCTGCAGGCCATCTGCATCACCAAAGGTGCAGGTGTGAAAGCAGCGGGTAACGGACACCGTGGTCCAGTCTGCTCTCCTACATTTAGGATCCTCCTGCGGATTCTGGGTCACTCCTGCCTGCTCTTTTCTGCCTTCCTCAGGCCCAGCACCAGACACAAAGCCTGCATCACACCCAGGGTTGCACCAGCCCACGGCATCCTTACCAGGGATCGGCACCAGGCCTGACCCCTATGGTAGACCCTTGTATCGCTCACAGTGGTTCTCGCATCCTGATCAAACCTTAACTGATACAGACCTCTTCTCTACAACTTTCAACAGGGCCACTGTTTAAAAAAGTAGTTAATGGTGGGTCAGTGGCAAAGAATCTACCTGCCATGCTGGAGTTGTGGGTTTGATCCCTGGGTTGGGAAGATCCCCTTGGAGAAGGGAATGGCTACCCATTCCAGTATTCTGGCCGGGGGAATCCCATGGACAGAGGAGCATGGCGGGCTACAGCCCATGGGGTCGCTAAGAGTCGGACACAACTGAGCGACTAAACAACAACACAACAAAACTGTTCAATATGTCCACCTTATCTATGATCTCAATGACAGGCTTCCTAAGATGTGTGAATTTATCATCCTTAATGTCAAAGAGAGCTATACAAATAGGCACTCAATAAATGGCATAGTAAATAAACCATCCCTGAAAATAAATCTATTTGTAGAGTGAGTTACACTTTGAAATGATTTATAAGTGTTAAAAAATTCTTTGCCTGTGAGAGTCTATATTCCCTACTGAAGGAGTTCAAGTTACACACGTCCCGTCTGCTCACCTTCCCTCCCTCCCTCAGTATTCAAACACATTCTGTAAGTATTTCTAATAATCTTTCCTTCATGACCTATTAATTTGATTTCACAGGACTAATGAGGATTCCAATTACAAATCATGTTATTTAAATGTGGGTAAGGTGTTATCCAATATAACACAGAAACTCTTGTGTAAATAACTTTCTTGGCAGTTCTCAAGTGTCTGTGCGCACGTACCCACACACATACTCAGTTCAGGAATTCTACTGAATTATTTCATCTGGATGAAAAAGAGACATTATTGTTTCTATGTTCCTGGCAAGTCAGCCATTCAGAGATGGGAACTGAGGTCTAGGACGCAGCAACTGAACCCCAGGATGCCACAACTTGGCACCAGTTTCTGACTCTCACGGATGCTGAAATGTATCAGGACAAGCAACATCTGGGTAGCAACAGCAGCTAACCAAGACCTTTGGGTCCTTTCAGGGAGGGATCAACAAGTCCTCCCAGCACCACGGGATCAGAGCTCATTATGCTGCTTCTCATGCGTTTTCTGTAATGCCTTTCAGTGAGGTTCACGGCTTTGGTCTGGCCTTGAAGCCATGTTCCCAGAACATAAAGCAGTGTATCTTCAGGTGAGACATTTAAGCATTCTCGAACATAAGAGTTGGCTTCATCTACTCACATGTTCCCCCCCTGTGCTTTACCATCTTTTCATAATGTAGTTATCGTTTCAGTTGGCTCCAACTACTTGGAGCCAGAGAAGTAAAACTCCTACAACTGATACTGAAAATAAAATATCAATGCAGTCTTACCAGCCCTTAGAACATACTGTTCACTGGCTTTTTTATGCATCCTCCCTGCTTTGAATAACACCGGCAGTGGCCGCTGCTTTGGGGAATGCACGTGGACAACCGCTCAGCCCAGACCCACCATCTCAGGCCCCTCCTGTGAAAGCTCCGGTCATTAGGTCTCAAATGGCCATGTCACCCGTGCTTTACCCCTTACCTGGACACAGTAGCTGGTTTACTGAGTGGGTATCTCATTCAAACAGTCTCTGCCTGGGGATTTAACAAACCAAAAGCCCAGGAAAGTATGTCCTCCCTCCTCCTGGGTTGCCTGTAGCCACGGAGCAGGATAAATGGAAATGCAGGAGAGGTCCCACATTGACGCCTTGGATCTATTACCTCCAAGGCTCCATCTCCACCTTTTCTAGCTTTGCGTGCATGCGTGCTAAGTCGCTCAGTCACGTCCGACTCTTTGTGACTCTATGGACTGTAGCCCGCCAGGCTCCTCTACCCATGGGATTCTCTAGGCAAGAACACTGGAGTGGGTTGCCATGCTCTCCTCCAGGGGATCTCTAGCTTAAGCCAACCCAGTATGGGTCTATCCCTGTAATTCCAATGTCCCAACAGAGGACTGTAAGGACATCAAACATGAGAGCAGTTGCATTGTCCGGGAGGGAATGATATGTGCTTTTTCCTCAGCAAACAACTTCTTTTCCGCTTATGTTCATTGCCAAAATAAGTTTTTGTCCCAGTCTCTTTCCCTTATAAAAACCCATCAACCTTTTGGAACTCCTTTCATCGAAAATCTCCCTTCTTACCCAGGGTCCCGACCCCACCATCCACTTTCCCATCTCTCAGATGCTCCTCCCCATTTCCTGCCCTCCACTATCCTAGGAGCTGCTCTACGGGGCAGACTCTTGGGGTTGCAAATGGCAGAAACACAACCGAAACCAGCTCAGAGAAAATCGGGCCTTTATGTCCTGCAACAGGGCTGTGCCTGCTTTAGGAATTTGAGTCTGGCGCCACATGTACTGCCGTGATTCTGGCTCTTTCTATCTCTCGATTCTCCTCTGGGTGCTCCCACGTGCAGAGGTCGTCCAGGAAGCAAAATGGCCCTGGCAGCCCTAGAAGCTCAAGCTCCTAGTGACCCCAGCAGAAAAGTTAATTTCCTGACAGCTCCAAAACAGAAGCCCAGAACCACCATGGCCATGAATTCCAGGGACGAGGGGGTGATGTGACCACAGGGAGGGAGCAGGTGGAGAGACACAAAGACACAGTACCCCGCTCAAACGACACGGATTGCCTTTTCCAAGACAAATTCTATCCCCAGAAGAAAAGAGGAAGACGGCAGACAGACAGATGCAGTGAAATTATCTCTAACTCATTGTGAAGCTAACAGCCCCAATCATACCCTATATGATACCCCTAACAGCCTCACACATCATACCTATAAAATAACTTGCCCACATTCGTCCTAGTTTAAGACTGAGAAGCATTAATCAATAGAAATGTAATAAATAACTTATATTAATCTTGTCTCAGAATCAGTTTGCGAATCAATAGCTCTATCTGTTTAATAGAGTAGTAAATGGATCATTTCTTCCTCCTCATAGCCACATGTAGATACAAGTCACTATTATACTAATAGATAAATATTTATTAGATGCCTAACATGGGCTTCTCTGGTTAGCTCAGTGGTAAAGAATCTGCTTGCAATGCAGGAGATGAGGTTTTAATCTCTGGGTCGGGAAGATCCCCTGGAGAAGAAGATGGCAACCAGCTCCAGTAATCTTGCTTGGGAAATCCTATGGACAAAGGAGCCTGGCTGGCAGGCTACCGTTTATGAGGCCATAAAGAGTCGGACATGATGGAGTGATTAAACAACAACAAACATGAGATCCTCACTTTTCTATTATAACCATGCTTTTTACATTCGTTCAGTTCAGTCGCTCAGTCGTGTCTGACTCTTTGTGACCCCATGAATCGCAGCACGCCAGGTCTCCCTGTCCATCACCAACTCCTGGAGTTTACGCAAACTCATGTCCATCGAGTCAGTAATGCCATCCAGCCATCTCATCCTCTGTTGTCCCCTTCTCCTCCTGCCCCCAATCCCTCCCAGCATCAGGGTCTTTTCCAATGAGTCAACTCTTCGCATGA